ACTCATAAGTATAGGAACTTACCTCAAATTCCTTGAAACACTACAATGGAACCTGTAAGAACCCGCACCGTTAATTAAGGTATTTAATTAATTAATTATGCAAAATTAGGAAATGATTTCATAATTGACCCTAATAATTATTTATGAGGCTGAATAATCGTAATAAGTGATTAAGAATGCTGAAAGTCGCTTTTCGGAAGAAAAGTGCAGATACCGGTTCTGCTAGTAGGTATAAATGCGTGCCGAAAAAGTATCCCGAAAAATTAATGTAAGTGCATGATAATTACTAGAATAATATGTAGGACTTGTAAAACGAGTTTCAAGTCCAGATAATGAGAACTGGTGCTGGAAATCGGTACTGGCTTGAAAAAGCGCGTACCGGAAAAGTGCTCAGAAAATTATAAGAAAAATATGATAAATCTTAGAAAATTATGTAGTTTCAGAATCCAAAGTTTGGGATTAAAATGCTAAGTGTAGCAATTAAAGTTAATACTGTGTGTTTAAGTGGCTTGGGCTATAAATACCCTTTTAAGGGAACATAACCCTAGAAAATTGCCTCTATGCGTGAGTGTCTTGTGGTGGCTGATCAGTTTTACTCTGTGTTGGTGCTCTCTTCCCTTGTGTGAGCCTTGTGACCTTCTACCTCCATGTTACCTCTTCCTAAACACTTGGGCTTGAGGGTGTGAGTCTTGTGAGCAGAAAAGAGTCATCTTCCTGAGTTTATGAGTTGCTGTTTGTGAGGTTCTTGCTCTGAGTTGGAGAGTTTGGAGGGGAGTCATCTTGTTCTTGGTGGTTTTGAGCTCCAAGTAGCTTCCTTGGTGAGGAAAGGACTCACCTTGTTGGTCCATTTTCGTGTACCTGTAGAAATAGTACTTGGAAGGGTTGTTGGTGAGCTCTTTGGGTCATTCTTGCTGAGTTTAAGCTTGTGGTATGATCTTCAACCTTTAATCATGAGTTTAATGCTTAAAAATGGTAGCTTGATGCATGTTAAGGTTAAAAGATGATAACTTGTTGTTGGGAGAGGCTTAACACATCTAGAAATGCATGATTAGGTGTTTAAAATCAGTAAAAAGGGAACCTTTCAAGGATATCTTCACGAAAATGCAGAAACTGCATTCTGTCGTGAGATATCCGGATATCTGTCGAACTGATATCCGGATATTGGATATCCGGATAGGTGGTTTTGGGATATCCGGATATTGGATATCCGGATATGTGAATCTGTATATCCGGATATGGATAGTGAGATATCCGGATATTCTGGGATTTCGCAGAACAGCAGCTGTGCTGTGTGTACAGTAGGCTATTGGGGGGGTTTGTGGACCTTAGTTTGATGAAGTTGAACTTCTGTATTTAATGGATTAAGCCAGAATCATGGGATTAAGGGCTTGTGGCTTTGTTAGAAGCTTTAAGACTTGAAAACGTAATGAAAAGGCGTTGTCTTAATATTGTATGCTTGTGGTGCATGTTGTTGATGTATTGTTGGTCCATAACAGATTGTGAATCTGCTGTGTTTGGACTTTGAGCTGTGGACTCTTGGCTTTTGGAGTTAGCTTGCAAGGTAAGCTTTCGTGTCCTCGGTTTAGCCATGTTGTGGTTCCACATGTCCCATGGGGGTATGGTTTATGCATGCTGTGTACATGCTTTTGGATATTTGATATTTTGATTGAACTTTACATGTAATGGCTTTTAATATGCGTGTGTTGTTTAATCTTGACGGGAAGCCTGGGTATGTAGCGCCATACAAGATGGTGTACCGGGGTGAATGCAAGTGGTACTTGCACGGTGTGTAGGTGATAGACGTATACCTGCACTATCTCTGGCCAGTAGATTAGTATTGACACACATGACATGATTATCTGCTGCATTGCATTGTTTTAGAAATGATAAATGATAAACTGCTTTTGAACTTATATTGCACATGTAAGTGAGCTTGGGGTGGAAGATCCTTGAGGACTCACTGACTTACTGAGATTTCTAGATTAGAGATCTTACCCCACGTTTGGGGAATGCTTATTTCAGGATCAGGTAGTCTGAGTACTGATGCCTCAGGCGGCAGGAGGCCGGAGCTTAGCTGATTATGTTGTTTCTGCTTATATGTTAGCATGACTGGATTTGGATGCTGTTTATGTTTTCCGCTATTTATGATATGTTGTTGTTGAGACTGATGTTGGGCATGTTGCCTTATTTGAGTGAGCATGAGGATTGTCCATGACACTTTCTGTTAGTACTTGTAGTTTGGAGTTGTATAAACTGTTAGTACTTGTAGTTTGGAGTTGTATAAACTGTTAGATGGTCTGGTCTACATTGTTGTAGTTCCGTGACTAGAGCCACAATTATATTATCTATGTTATGAGGTATTTCAGTTAGCTGTTTTATTGCAATTACATACAGGTGATGTTTTATTAATTGATTATTAAGTAAGTTGGTAATGTTAATGGCATCATAATTGAAAAGAAAAAGTAATTCCGCATTTTTAATTAAGCGCAGCTTAATACGATATTATGATAACATTACCGGATATATACGGAGTGTTACAGAACCCTAACTCAAAGTTGAGTCCAATGGTGGTCTCTCTACTAATTAATCACTAGGGTCAATATTCCTACACACAACAACAAAGTTCAAGCATCAATCCTCCATACTCAAGCTTAAAACCCAAAAATCCCCAATTTCTTTATGGAAACCCTAAAACCAACTTCACCAAAATCTAACAAAATCACAATGAATCCATGGAGCTTATATTACCTCAAAGCTCCTAACTTAAGCGGAATGCGAAAATCCAAGTCCCAAGTGTGAAGAATCCTCTCACTTTCTCGTCCTAGAGGTGGTGCCCCAAAGCAAGAAAAGTAGGTTCTTCACTTTTTTTAGCTTCTTGAGAATTTAGATGGTGAAAATGGTGGAGGGTTACTTAAGAGAAGATGGTTTCATAAAGACTCAAGGGGAGGTGAGGTCTCTTGCTCTGTAATGGAGCAAATCGATCAAAGAAAAAGAGAGAGAGAGTCGTGAGATGCAAATGGGGAGGTAGAGAGAAAATTTCTTGATTTTTAGAAATATCTTCTAAGGGGAAAATACCTTTTTGCACCTAGTTCCACTTTCTTATGACAATCCTATTACTCTAGCCTATTACATTTCATTTTGGTGAGTTGGGTCCCCATACAAGGTGTCATGCACTTGATTTATTTTGGGTCTCACTTACTTCCATAATTTTACTTAAATAGCCCCCTAATTATACATTAATTTCTAGTTAATGTAATTTAATTATTTGAGTCATTATAATTTGTAGGGTTTAAAATTAAGGGGCTTAGAATGTTTTACATGGTGATTTAATTGAAATTATGGTGTGTGTGTTTTTTTTTAAACGAGACAAGGGTTAGTCTTGTTTTTCCCTTGGGGGGGTTATTGATTATGGTAGATTGAGGATGGTGAAGCTTTTAGGACTAAATCGTAGGGAGGCAGATGAACCAAGGCAAATTGCCTCAAGGTCCAATCTGACCAGTGAGTCCAGTGAAAATGGTTGGCTCATCAGGTTCTTTGATTAATTGTTCTTTTGCGAGTGGATTGTTTTTAGCTACTTGTACAAACATGATCATTTATGTCTTGTTCTTCTTTCTGCATTTTTTTCTACTTCAAGCTCAATCCAAAGCGTTGTTTCGGATAATTTTTTTCTTCTTCTACATTTTGTTCCACCACCTTCAACACCTCTATTGTCAGAGATAATGCATGCGACTCTTCCTCCACCGTCTTTGCCTATTCCATTCATAGAACCTCCAATAAAAAATGTTACTTTTAAATATTTAATTTAAAATTATAATTTTTAAATTTTTTAAGAACTTACAATAAAAAATAATTTATAAAGTAAAAAATGTTTAAAAAATAATTTAAAAACAAAACTATAAAATTATATTATAATTTGTATTTTTATTTATTTATATCATATTCTAACGTTATTTGGTTTACCTCAAACATAACATAGGATAACATAATTCTATTATACTCCTTATCTAGTGCATATCAAACATAGGATATGATATAAACTCATATCCATCCCTCATATCATATCCATCCTTATCCTATATTATCCACCAACTACGGGCCAAAGGAGACTTCTCAGGTAGACAATTTCTATGGGACGTTGGCCTCCCAAAAAGTAATGGAGGGTGCAAAGATTTTCTCATACCATATTTATCTTATCTTATCTTATCCACCAAACAAGCCCGAAACATGAAACACCTTTTGAAGTCAACTCAAGTCGTGACTTGTAAGGCACGTCTGAAAGGTCGGTTCTTATACTCCTTTTAAGGTTTTCTCTTCAGACTTTTAAGGTTTTGGTATTCGACTTTCTGCCGAAAGAGAAAAACTTTGATCATACTGCTCAAACGATCGAATTAGTGTTGACTATATGGCCACCCAGCTGGCTACCATTTAGGCAACTATAGTCTATTCCATCAAATAATAAATATGTTTCACCTATAGCAATATTATAAAGTTTTATGGAAGTCAAATATTAAAAAAAAAAAAAAAGTTCATCATTATAAAGTTTTAAAATGTACACTTAATTATCCTTAAGAAAATTTCTTATTCTGAAACATCTTAGAATTTCTAGCAAACATAGCTCAGTTAATATCAATGCATATATATTAATATATATGACAGTTTTTACATCGAAAGCAACTTACGTAGCTACAAGGGAACTTCAACGCGCAATGTGCTTGTCCTGGAGTCGATTTGGTTATAAATTGCAACCTTGTGCCCTTCAACTTCCCAACGTCCATTGAGTAGTTCTTCCCTTTTACTCTTCCCTAAACTTTAGCCTTTTGATTCCCCATACATCGTCATTTCATCTCTTATCAATTCTACAGGTATTCTCTGTTGTTGCCTTTAGAACTTTCTTATTGTGTCATCAGGGTTTCATGGTTTCTTAAAGTTTACTACTACTATAATAATATATTAAGGGGTTTATTATTTTTGTTATTTTTAAATATAATTCAGTTTAGCCCATGTCGGTCTCACCTAGTCAAGCACCATTAGGTGAACTATTGTGTGACAATAGTTTTGAATGTGATGACATTCTCCCTGCCACTGATGATGCCCATGGAGGAGTCATTATAGACTTGAAGGAGCCAATGGACACTGAAGTTTTTGTTACTTTGCTCAGAACTTCAATTTCACAATGGAAGCAACAGGTGATTATAATAATAACTATTTATATATATAGCCTTTGAATGATGATGTATTTGTTTCATTCATTCAGATTTATAAAATAAAATTCTCACGTGAAAAATCAAGTGTAACTACTCTTCTAGCTTCCTTTTATCTTAACTCGTTCAAATTTCTGAAGTGTCCCAACTAATAAGCTATTTGACAGATTTTATGGTGAATTGTGTACAATTTCACGTTTTCTCTCAACAGTTTCTTAAAGCTTCGATCATCTGGCTTCTGGATTTCATTCCTAGGGCACCCTCTAGTATCATGTAGAGCTTGCAACTTGCATGCAAGGTCTTTCTCTCTGAAAGCCTCCAGAACTGATTGCAGAATCACCAATCGCTCAGATAAATTTTGAAACCAAGTGAGGGAACGAGGGAATCAAGTGTGTGAAACCATGAACTATAATATGAATTTTGAAATGCTCCATATTTACAATCCAAACAAAACGTGTTTTATAATAACTGGTATTTCAATTTCAGTATTTTGAATTTCTGGGATTTGAAAAACACTCTATCCAAACACAACTTCGGTGAATTCTTTTATCGAAAAAAGAAATCATTATACTTCAATTTATCCCCTTGGAAGTCCTTATTTGTATGGATTTTATGTGACTTCAAGGTAAACTGTGAGACAATGTTAATGGACATATAGTTTAAGCTTCAAAACTTAATATATATATTTTTTTTTGCTAAGAAACTGTGTAGTAAGGTTACTAATTAAGAAAGACTGGTTCAACCATATACCAACTTCTTACCTCTACATAGTGTCATCATCTACTAATTAACTCGAATAATTATATATTCTCCTATGAGAACCCTCCTAGTTACTTAAAGAAAAAAAAATATTAAATGTTTTTCAGGCTCTTACTATATTAAGTATTTTTACTTTTCCATTTAAATCATGAGGATAAAGAAGAATTAGCTAAGCGAATATAACATATCCTATTAATTGTAATACACATTGCAGGGGAAAAGGGGTGTTTGGATCAAGTTACCAATTGCACTAGTTAATCTTGTTGAAACTGCAATTAAGGTAATCTCTCCAAAACTATCAAGCCATCATAAGATTGTTTATGTTCTCTAACTTTGAAATTCAAATGGGAATGTTTGTCATATATCTCATAGAAGCCACACAGGTTAGCTAGCTTGATTTTGTCCATCCTCTTTTTGTACACCTTTTGTGTGAAATTTGGTTTAAAATAAAACCTAGGTAGATTCTATAAAGCTAATAAACATGTTATCTTATGTTGGTCACATATCTCATTGGCAGGAGGGTTTCTGGTACCACCATGCTGAACCAAGCTATCTCATGCTAGTTTATTGGATTCCTGAAACAGGCTGCACAATCCCGCCAAATGCATCCCACCGTGTAAGGGTCGGTGGTCTTGTCTTAAACAATAAAAAAGAGGTCTAAAATGAGAATGCTTCTTTCATCTAAGCGCTTTCAAATACTCAACCTGGTTTCATACTAGCTAGCTGTTCTAGAAATTTGATTATTTTTCCTCTTTCTCTTTTATTTGTTTTTGGTGGGCTTCTAGGTGCTTGTAGTCCAGGAAAAAATAGGTAAATTCCAGGGTATTGGCGTTTGGAAGATACCAACTGGAATAGTTGAAGCGGTATGAGTACATTGAAAGAAAATTTTCTCCTCTAGTGTTGAAAATTAAATTCCAATTTGGTCTGAATCATGAAACTAACATGGTATAACTTCAGGGTGAGGAGCTTTTTGCCGCAGCTGTCAGAGAAGTGAAAGAAGAGACAGGAGTAAGTGTCAAAATAGAATGTTTCGTTCCTATTTTGTTCTTGAATGCGCTTTGTGACTTTGCATTAATTTAACTTTAAATTGGTCTATTTTTTTCCCTTGTTCAGATTGATACAGAATTTGTGGAAGTACTAGCATTCAGGTCTAAATTTTCAAGTCTCTGATATCTATACGTACATTTAGACCTCTATTGAAGTTTTACTTTAAAAACTGATCGATCTAACTCTCTTCACCTCCTCCTGGCTACCTTATCTTTTTCATGATTTCAACATTGGAAAATGCAAATGAAGTCAGTCTTTCTTATTTCCTTGTTATTTTATTTTTGTTTTAAACTGCTCATGTTTATAATTTTCAGAGAATCGCATAATTCATTCTTTGGAAAATCGGACCTATTTTTCCTTTGCAAGTTGCGTCCTCTTTCTAGTGACATCAAAAAGCAAGATTTGGAAATTGAGGCTGCTAAGGTATAATTATATTTGTCAAAGTCACCTTATATATCTTTCATTGGTTTTGATGTAGAGATCTCACATATGATATTTTGCCACAATAAAAGCAGATCACATATATGCATGAGGGTGATATATACTTTCATAACATAAATGGAACATTCTTCTTCCAAAATGTAGGATTTCTATTGACTAGCTAAAAGATGAACCAAGCAATTAATGCACATCATTATCAACCTTAACGTATGTTGCTGCTCATGATCAACAACGTCATAATGGCAAATGTACTACAAAATTCTTAACTGAAAATGCAAAGGAAAAATGACTTCCAATATGGCCTTCTGGTGTGAATGTGAATTGTGAGTGTGTGACATAATATACCAGAAGGTTGAATTCTAATTATTCTCACACGCTAAACAGTAAATACACTGATTGGTAGATTATTTAACATCATGAGACACATTAACTACATGACCACATGATTTACATGGTAAATTTGTTCCCACGTTGTTGAAATTGACCCTGGAACTGATAATTAAGAATGATGGATTCTTGACTACATGCCTACGTTAGAGGATTCTTTTAGTTCAAAGTTGTTAGTTTTTACACGTTTATGCTTGCAATTTATCGAGCCTCACCTATCAAATTAATGCCCCTTTCTCTCAAGATGAGTCAGATATTATATGAAACCCTGCATTCAAAAGAGAGCACTTAACACGAAGCTAGTATATGCTGATTAACTTCCTACTTTATTGCCATATATATAAGCCATTACCGTTGGCCAGTTGAGTTGTTTCCGTAATGAATCTAGTGCTATTGTTATCCATCTTTTGCTACTTTTTGAATATAATTTATTTTGGTGTGCTTTTCCTTTTCTAACGAAGTGGATGCCATTTGAGGAATATGCTGCTCAACCTGTCACCCAGAAGCACGAGCCTTTCAAGTACGCAAGTGAATTATGTTTGGCAAAAATAGAAAGGTGCTATGCTGGATTCTCACCACGACTTATCTCATCATATTTCAAGGAGCAGTTGAGTTATCTTTATTTAAACAGCCATGACCTGGACAAGTCTTCCAAGTCAGTCTAGGTCTTGGACAATAGTTGATATTGACGTTTCTCTCTAATGAGATGCTCGCTGCACCTTACTTTCTTGCTTAGTGCTTAATTATGGCTACACTGGGGTCCACCTCATGTTTAGCATTGACACTAAACCAGAATTTCTCTGCTTTTGCCATGTATCACAGATTCTACACTTTGATTATACATGTTGTACGAAACTTACCTAAAAATAATCCTACGTTTGGCAGAGGGAAAAAAAAATACAACTGTGAAAAAAAATTTAACTTTTATATTTGGATGATAAAAAAAGTAAAATATTAAATTAAATTAAATCTCAAAGTTTATTAGATTCCATATATCTTTGTGTGTATATGAAATAAAATTATTTCCTTCCATATAAGATATTAAATCCTATTTTAAAATTAAAGTATTTTTCCATCTTTCAATTTATTTATCCACAAACGAACCAAGATAAAGTGATGTGCAAAATCATGCGGACGTTTTTTTCTTCAAATCTTCCATGACAATAAATTTCTCAGAGACATTTCCTTGACAAACTTTTCATCTTTTCTAGTCATCGTTATGACTAACTCCATTATTAACGATGGTACAGGAGTTATCTATGATTATAAAAAGACATGTTTAAAGCCAAAACAATAAAAAAAAAATAGAGAGAGAAGGGGAAAAAAAAAGTAGAAGTGAAAATGAAAGGTTGAAAATTTTGTTAGCATAGATTAGAGACTCATGCAAAATGGTGGAGATTTGTGAGTGCTGCTTCAATACGATAACGACAAATATACTGTCGTGCGGCACCAAATCCTGTATGCAGAAGAAAAATTGGCGAAAGATCCAAGACCATATTAGACAGGTGCTGGTTACATATCAAAAAAGGAAATTTATTATACTCTTTTCCCGTAAAGCTCTGTCACAACATCATTGCGCGCAATCCTCATTTCTTTCTTTCTTTCCTCTTATAAAATGATTTTCTAGTGTGAATGAAAACATTAAAGTAGATAAAATAAAATAAAATAAAAAAAGAGAAAGAAAATGTTTCCATCAAATTTCCTGCTGGTTGTAGTGGTACCGTTTTGGTTATCAGTGTGCAATTTTCATTTGGAAGCAGCTTACGGTGATGCATATCCCCAACTACTGTTGAGATATATAGTCTTACATTGGTTATATGTGCAACTAATGTGGAGTTTATAAGACCTTGAGCACTCCCACACTTTGAGCTAGCTTTTGGGGTGGTGTATCTCAAGATTCTTTACATGGTATCAGAGTCTCGCCGCCCCTGACTTTCTATTGTGGCGTTTCTTAGCACAGGTAGGCTGGGCCTGTTGCATTGTCCACTCTTTAAGCCCAATAGGCTCTCGTGTGAGGGGGCGTGTTGAGATATATAGTCCCACATTGGTTGTATGTGCAACTAATGTAGAGTTTTATAAGACCTTGAGCACTCTCACCCTTTGAGCTAGCTTTTGGGTGGTGTATCTCAAGGTTCTTTACATGAACTGCTACAAATGTGATCCACCATGTCAATAGGTTTTTCCACCACTTTCTGGTTATCCTTCTTATGGAGATCTACCACCGCCACCTCCACCTCCTCCTCCTCCGCCTTCTGGCTACTCTATATATGGCGCCCCACCGCCACCAAAGAGTAAGTGCCCTCCTACTGCTGCAGGTGTTCAGTGTTGTACTCCTCCTGCTCCTTACATTTATGAACCTCCAAATCCATACACCTACGTGCCTTATGGTGGAGGCGAAGGCTCTGCTTCAATGCTTCTGCCACTTCTAGTTCCTCCCCTGATGCTTTTTTCTTACTTTATTTTTCTCTTCTGAATCTAGCTGCTTTCATTTATCTAGTCATGGAAAAAATTAATGATCGTTTTAAATTGGACGTGCTATGTAATATGATATCGGGTTATCAGTACTTGTAGTCTGTAGATGCTGCTGTAATATATCCGTCCATGATAAGATTCTCTACAAGTTTCAATTATATCCAGGATTATTGTTTATCATGTTACATTAAATAAATTTGTTGCATGAAACAAGTTTATCTCATATGCATCATATAAAAAAATATTCCCTCTTTTGTCATAGCTAAATTGCTAAGAACTTGCTAACAACTTCTTTCTCTCTTCTTATTTCACTACACTCACCATTTGCTCCTTACACCTTCCAATTTTTTTTCCAACTTCTACTAAAATCCCACCTATTTATAAACTTTCTTCCTCTAGACAACGAGACAATGATATATTTTTTTATTTTGTATTTCTTCCCACAATAGTTTCATAAGTTGCCCGTGAATTAATCCTGAGTTCAGGGCGAGTATACAATTATGACTTTAAATATCTATCAAAGATAATAATGAGAAGGATCGAATACATCTCCACTTCAAGCTTCCGTGCACCAACTGAACTATTATTCCTGAATTCAAATTAATCGTGAAGTTTAAGAAAAAAAACCCTTTGGAAAAACCTCTGCTAAATATTTTACTGGAAGTTATTTAGTATAAGTTAAAAAAAACCTCTATTAAATAATTTAAATTTTGGAGAGTTTTAAAACTCCACAATTTCACATTATATTTTGCCACTATGAAAGTTACATGTTAATGGAATGCCGTACGTTTTAGAACAGAGCAACCAATGGGCACGTAATTTTTCACACTTGACTGACCCAACGCAAACACAACACTCGCTTTAGAACAACTCGTCTTCTCAATTTTCAAAAGCCTTTAACTTGGAATGAAAGGCTGAATCCAAATCCAATGGCCTCCCATCTTATTCGTACTCTTCTTCCCCTTGGTTTGTGCATGTTTTACAATCGGAATTTAAGTAGAGTTATTTCTTTAATTGCAATGGAAAAATATTATCTTAAAATTGTGATTCTATGTTTATTTATAGAAAACATAAAATCATAATTCAAAAGATATTTGCTGATGATGAAATAACATATTCATTCAAATTTCTTTTAAAGTTTTATAAGAGTTATATGATAAGAAAATTGATTGTGTTATGTTATAAAGATTTGTTTTGTGTACCGTAATTTTTTTTTTTTTACTTCAAAAAATGCAGGCCCCACAAAATATTGTATGTCTAACAAACTTTTTATTTTCATGTTAAATTTTCATAAACATAATTAATTCAAAATTAATCCACACTCCTCTCTCTATTAGTCAGTATTGTTCTTCTATGTTCTGTCGCTGAATACTCATTCTGATTCTTCTATTTCCTTTATCGCAGGGTACGCCACTTTCATCTTTTATACTCCTATATGGTCTTTTTCTCATCATCAATTTTTTAAAAATCCTTCATAATATTTAATAATGCTTTCTACCTGTTTGTTTCTTTTTGTTCTATAAAATAAATAGCGCTAGAAATACTTGTGTTTATCGATTGTGTGCGAAACCACTGAGCTGATTCTTATATGGTTTAGGGTTTTCTGGAAGCTCTCGAAGCTATAGCATTGTTGAATCGTCGAAACATATTGTGTTGAGACCTGACGACGAGGAGATAGCCGCGCTCCGTCGCGAATTCGAAGTTGCAAAACAGAGTTTTCTCAAGATTCCCGATGCGCTCAGAAAAATGCCCAAAATGAATCCTAAAGGTTCGTAACTTGTTTGGTTGCTTCAACATTTGTTTTTCAAATAGAATGAATGAGTGCGTTTCTTTTTCTTTTTTTTTTGTGAATATTGATCTATTTTTTTTCTGTTCGTGTATTGGATTAGGCATATATGTGAATAAAAGCTTGAGATTGGACAAATTGGAAGTTTATGGATTCGACTATGATTACACATTGGCACATTACTCGTCGCATTTGCAGACTTTGATATATGACCTTGCCAAAACTCACTCTTGCTGTTTGTTTTTGCTGACTGTGGTTCCTTTCCTTACTCTTCTCGTTGCTTCCTTCAGCTTAGGTCTCCTGAGATTTGCATGGATTTTAAATTGATCCAACTTTCCCCATTAGGTTCCTATACTATAATTCTCGCACCCTTAATTCTTTTATCCTCCTTATTTCCTCTGTGAGAGTTACATGTTAATGGAATGTCATGTTTCCATATAACTCCACCATACAAATAGTTTGATCTGTCCATATACATCCAGCACATATCTAGCGAGACAAGATGATGGGTATGAGGAATATGTCATCACAATGTAACTATCTAAATAGTCTTTTGAAAGCATCCATATGCAAGTTGAAAATCAATATTAACATCGACATCACCTGACCAGAAATTAGACTCAGATATACAGAATATAAACTCCTCAGAACCATTCTTCAAGTTTATTAATATACAATTCCAAAGGTCTGACTGCAGTATAAGCCAAACTTGATCGATACTTCTTCAACCATAGGTGCATTCTATTTGGTAAAAGGGCAATGTTAAACGGTACATCTTTCTGTACATTCATTCTGTTTATCTAATGTGAACAAATAATTTTTATTCCCCTCTACGTGAATTGATTTGATTTATAAATGAGTTTTTTCTTCTTCTTTTTATTTTTTTCCCCTAACTTTAGTTGTATACATATAAAAATTTACTCAAACTTAACGTGACTTAAAGAGTAGCAGCCCAGTCACTTACCACTCTTATCCCTTAGCAGTCCACCGCATCCAGCTTTCTTTGAGTTGTGGTAGGAAGCCCCATCAAAGTTGATAAGGAGATAAGACGGTAATTAATTGCAAACTATTTGTTACTATATTTGATAAAGACAATTGTAAAGGAATAGATACTATGCAAACTGATTCATATTCGTGGTGGTGTTGGCATTCAGGGCCAACCTAAAAGGCATTCTTTGACCATCTTGAATAATACCAGTGGCGTTATCAAACTTGAAAAGTAATTTTTTTTTTCTACTTTTAACTTATTTACTTTTTCTCTTTTTATTAATGGAATCCGCCCCAGTTCCTGGAATGGAGTTATATGTTAGCCTTAAGTAACATAAACCAGTGTCCAAGATAGAAACCCAGAATTTCCCTATGAACTTGCTTTAATCCTAGTTTAAAACATTAAGGAAATGTTGTTTGTTTGAGTTGACTTTTAGGAAATTTACTTCAGACAATCTCTTATGCAAACAACTGTGTGCATTGTGTTGCAGATAATCAGTTTTCTTCAGCAGAATGCTCATCCTCGAGTTGCAGAAAGGATGCCATCTGTGCCTGAAAACGTCACACATCAGGTTTTGGAACGTAATACTGTGTGTGTGTGTGTGTTCTGATGTATAGCATTGTAATGGTGACAGATTAGGCTATGGGAATCAGATCTAAACAGAGTTGAGATGACAGAAGCATATTATTACTACGAGTTTCCTTCCGGGGTAAGCAACTTAGCATCTTTGAGTCCATGTCTTTGTCTATGTAATTATATGTGTGTAACACCCGGCCGCTTCAAGAATTAATGACTATCCTCACACACTAACACGAGACTTTTCAGCGTGCTTTGTCCTCACTCGCACACTTTCCGGGAAAACTTCCCAGGAGGTCACCCATCCCTGAATTGCTCCAAGTCAAGCACGCTTAACTGTGGAGTTCTTCCGATCCGGGCTACCGAAAAGCAGATGCATCTTGTTAGTATAGGTAGTACCAATTAATTCTTATAAGCTATCCTTAGATGTGCTGTCCTATACCAGCACAGTCTCTGGAATCCCTCTCTTTCGGGTGTTGATTCGATTCATTCATGTACCTCCGTCGCTGGAAGCCTATCAGGAGCCGCTCCTTGTTTGTGCCCTTTTGCACCATGCCCTTTCGCACCGGCGATCACTCCCCGCCCTCGTCAGCGCTCGGGATGTTACATGCCCACCAGCTTCCGCCTGGTTCGTCCTCGAACCACACCGTACTGGAAGAGAGGCCCTGCTCTGATACCACTTGTAACGCCCGACAACTTGCAAGAATCAATGACTATCCCCACACACTAACACGAGACTTTTCAGCGTGCTTTGTCCTCACTCGCACACTTCCCGGGAAAACTTCCCAGGAGGTCACCCATCCCTGAATTTCTCCAAGTCAAGCACGCTTAACTATGAAGTTCTTCAGATCCGGGCTACCGAAAAGCAGATGCATCTTGTTAGTATAAGTAGTACCAATTAATTCTTATAAGCTATCCTCAAATGTGCTGTCCTATACCAGCACAGTCTCTGGAATCCTTCTCTTTCGGGTGTTGATTCGATTCATTCATGTACCCCCGTCGCTGGAAGCCTGTCAGGAGCCGCTCCTTGTTTGTGCCCTTTCGCACAGGCGATCACTACCCGCCCTCGTCAGCGCCCGGGATGTTACAATGTGTATAATTTGTGGGGCAGGAAGTATTTGAAGCTGCATGTGACTGTGCAAGAGATTGGAATGGTTTGTTATGAGAAGATTCAAAGAAGATGCATATGGTGGTCAAGACTGAGGTACATACGTATGTACGAGATTATTTACGCCACCAAAACTAGTAGTAGGAAAGCCATGACCATCTCATGCATCTTATTTATCTCATAACACATATATGCTTTTATGTTTATGATAATACAAGTAAAAATTTCCAAAGTGTAATGGAATAGCTAAACTTTGTTGGTGCCGGTGGCCAACTACTCCTTTACTTTTTAAAGTAATTAGTGAAAACTCATTCCTCACCACTGTTTATTTATTTTCTAGTGTATGTTTCTATGATTAGTCCACTAATAGATATTTCTATTCTGGTATTCTTATATTTCGATGATTAGAATCCAGTCTTTTTACTGTTTGTTATTTCTGCATATTTTAGATTCTCCTGAGTTGCCTCGTAATATGCATTTTAAAAAATATGTATTCAGCACTCTGGCCCGAAGGGGACTGACTCCGAATGTTGATGGCTATAATATCATATCATGATTTATGGATTATTGAAGATTATAATGGTGGATGAAGCCACGAATATTTTTTTAAAAAGTACATGTACTTCTAATGTTCTTTCAGGATCCCCTGTGGACATGAAGCATTACCCACCACTGCTACTTTCCTTTCTAAACAAATGAATTCAGGGAAATTTCCCCAGAGTTTACTCTCTGTGTCTAATTAATGATTGGGAACTGCAATATCAGTTTCTATTTTCATGGTTGCTGTCTTCCTTCTTCAAATGTCGTCTCACTCACGAGGTTGATTGTTTTCGTTCCTGGCAACTATGGGATAAGATCTACAATTTTTAACTTGCAAACTACTTCTTCTCCAATGATAATGATTTCATATATTTATTTTAGTGTTGAACTCAATATTATTAGTTTAAGGGTGACGTTAAGTGCCTTATTATTTTAAACAAGCTAAAAGGTCCAATATTGGTTTTTCACATAATAAAGGGAGTGAAGAAGCTATTTCAACACCATAGAGAAGGTCTTCATTTGATAATAATGACCCTTAAATTGGGTCATGGGAATTCAATATTTTTCCTTTGATTTTGGATTTTGTAAAGTGATGTATGCATCGTTAGAGACTGCAATGGATTTCGGAGCCTTGAGATGAATTTATGCGTTCTTGTTTTGATTATTGTAATTTTCCTATTCTTTCTTGTTCACACATTATTGAATTATTCTTATATTTCTTTTTTGAATGTGTATCCCTTGAGTGAGGCATATTCATACTATGAATGCCTTTTTGCCCTTCGTGAGATAAGAAATCACTTTTTGAGATAGTAATACATCTACTATCCATAGAATTGACTCATTTATCTTGATGAAATTTACTATATAGGGAAACTTTCCATTACGAAGGTGATTGAAATATTTAAGTTGAATAGTTTACTTTTCTTAAAGTAATTTAGATATCATATATGTCCTCAAATGAAAATTATAGATAATTTTGTTTTGATGCTCTCCGAAATTTCCAATCCTTCTAAGGTTTATAATATTCTTCTACTGCATCCGTATAAATCTCAGAACAGTGACCAATGTATCACACATTGATCACTTTTTTACCAGAATGCCACTCGAACAGCAATATTTGCCAAAATATCATGTATTCGAGTTCGTTACAGCAGCTAGCGAACTCAATTGCTGATGTGGCGTGTTTCTGGTTGTCATCTAGTTCGTTACTGGGTGTAGCGAACTAGGTAATAATTAATACTCCTCTACTCTAACAAAAATAAAACACGTGGCAGTATCATAGAAATTCGTTGGAGTAATAACGAACTATGTAAAAACAACTATTAAAATATATGTCAGATACACATAAGTTCGCTACATTAAGTAGCGATACGGAGCTTATCTAAGGCTGACCGTATCTAGTTCCTTGCTTTTGTCATTATTGCTTATATTGATAGATGTGACGTGAACAGATGGAACTTTTCCACCTCGAAGACTTGCCTACATATCCAAATAGCAATTATATCATTGCGGAATGAAAAATAAAAGGATTGAATTGCGCCTCCTACGTACCATTATTGGGGTGAGTGACCATTTTGTCATGTTTTGGCAAAAAAATTATCAGAATGTCACGCGGACAGTAAAATTTTTCAAACTGCCACGCAGCATAATTTGCTACACAGTGTAGCGAATTATGCATGCAAATAATTCGCTATACAGTGTAGCGAAATATGCCACGTCAGAACCAAAAAGTGCCATGTGTCAAAATTGTTGAAATTCGCTACCCTATGTAGTAAATTTCAACATTCTGACACATGGCACTTTTTGGTTCTGTGCATTCTGACGTGACATATTTCGCTATACTGTGTAGCAAATTACTTGCATGCATAATTCGCTACACTGTGTAGCGAATTATGCCGCGTGGCAGTTTGAAAAATTTTACTGTTCGCGTGGCATTCTGGTAATTTTTTTGCCAAAACGTGGCATTTTGGTCACTGTCCCCATTATTGTTCACTAACTCAAGGTTATATAATTAAGTAGTATTTGGTTTCGACTATTATAAGTATGATTTAGCTTTTCTTCTCTTTAATTTAAAAGGAGAATTTAGCCAAACATATTTTTATAAAAACTCTTACTATAAAAAGAGTTTTTTATATAATATTAAAAAAGGCTAAAAACTCTCTCGAGAAACTTGTTTTTTATGTATACCAACTTTTTAGAAAAAATATTATTTTACCAAATAATTTATTTTTAGCTTGAGAAATTAAAAAGTTTGTATAACCACCAAATGACTTTTAACTTTATTTTTTGATTTTTAATTTTTAACTTTAACTTAAAGAGTAGTTTTAGCTTAAAAAAATGCGTCAAACATACTCTAAATCATTTCTTTTACTGCCTATGTCACCATGTGGTGTATAACAATCTGGTTATGAATGAGTTTAGAGAAAAAAAAAATGAGCTTATGCCCTTTTTATAAAATCTTCCCATCGTAAAGTCGATTATGAGTGTGCAGCAATAAATGATGGTTTCTAAACATTGGAAAAATACATTATGCATATTTAGGAGTGTAGATAAGTCATACAATTTGTCAAGGGCCTATAGCTTAGATTGCTTTTGGTTTATCTTAGCATGATATTTTTTAAAAATAATATAAGATTGGACTCATTAAAATATATATTTAGAAATCATGTCCCAAGTCTATTTTAAAATACCTAGCCTAAAAACTTCTTGGTCCGCCAATATTTTTTAATAAATAATATCTTATGATTTTCAGCAAAATAATTAAATTGTCAATATTTTGGCTTCAGTTATTATATTGTTTTGACCTTCTATCAACTTAAACATACAAAAGAAATGAAGTAGTCAAAAATTATAATTTACAAAGTGTTTATATTTTTTAAAAACAAGTCAGGTCAAACTTACAACTTAGTTTGTATCAAGCTAATAAGTCAACATAAACTTGAAATATTGTATATAGATCTAACTTATTAAAGCTAAAGTCTAGTTTGACATGCCTAAATTATACCTTTATCCACATTCCTAAATACTAGTGCTAGATATGGTTTCAATTAACCAAATGATGGTAGTGTATTTCGCGACTGAATTTCAACGACGGTTGATGGTAATCCGTCGCAAAATATGATATCACGACCGTTAGTACGACGCCCTAACCAACTGTCGTTAAATATAACAATTCTACGACGGATATCAACGACGGTTTGTAACCGCCTCCAAATATATCATTTCAGCCAACAGGATTTGAACACATTACACCTTGGACAAATTAAATGACAACAACCACTATGTCATTGAATTCTTTGTGCTATTTTGTTATTATTATTAACATATATAT